GACGGGCGGCGCTGCGGGCGGCGCGGGGGCGGTGGGGGCGGTCGCGGGGGGTCGTTCGGGCGCAGGCTCTTCCTGCTGGTCGTTGAGGGCGGCTGGAGGCGGCTCGACTGCAAAAGTCAACGAACGCACTCGTTACAACTTAAGACTTTTGAATCACAAAAGGATCCCTCTAAACCTGAATCGAACTCATGTTTCTGGTTGGGAAAGTGCTGTTAAAATGAAATAATATGAATGCGTGAAAATAAAAACGGTGTAAGTGACATTTTATAAATTCTGAGAATACCTTGTCTATTTTAGGCTATATTTTAGTGACAATGTAATTGTATGGTTTTAATGAACAATTGAAATGCTGTGATTTTAATGATGAAATAAAGTAGCAAGGCTTTACAGCAACATTGAATTAAATAAACAGATTTATCACAATTTATAAAATAACACATATACCGTTCTGCTTTTCACCCATTCATATGCACTAAAGTATATTGTGAAACGATGATATAATGGATACTAATGACAGAATATGAAGTAATATTACGGTACGAGCGATGAACGAGTTCACTTCGTATGAACGTAGTACACTTCATACGATTGTAATAATCTTCGTACTACTTTTGTTTCATACACTACTTTTTCTTCAACTAATGATAACTATTGTAAACTTTTACTCTAAACGGCTACATGACGGCTCGTATGCAATATTTAGCCAATGCCACTTAGCAGAGAGACATCTAAGGTATAAGTACCAACTTCAAACGAACAATATAGGATCGAATGTCAAGTTAGGATTGAATGTTTTAAAGAAACATAATCGAAGTTTAGTATTGGTTATTTCGTCTTTACGGCTTAATAGCTCATGAAGTCCACATAGAGGGACTACTGATTTCCTTCTGAGTTTTGGGGACGAAAGTGCTAGATGTACTGTCATTTTCTAGACAAAGTCATATTCACAAGCAACATTGAATAAAACGGTAAACTATAATTAATTAAACTTAGTGCGAGGTAAAACATCTATTCTTGATTGAAGATAAGTAACAGTGAGTCTTCTAATGCAACGAGTAGCAGCTAATAATATAATTAAACAATAGGAGTAGAAGTAAATTATAGCCAGAATTGTTAACGTGTGTATTCCTAAAGTTTTAATGATTGTACTCTTTGTACTAGTGTACTTTTTAACGGTTTTAATCGACGCTTTCTTAAATATAATTGTCTGATTTAATAGACTGTAAATTTACGTAGTCGATAATAATTTTAAATTTACATAGTCAATTATTTATTACAAAAACGTAAAAAAACTCGATATTAATCCAAGAGAAATGTAAATTATATGTGTTTGTACACTACCCATATAAATAGCATTGTCTCTTAGTGTGAATATTTACAAAATAAGAGATTTGAACCTCAATATGAGTTAAATGTACTCAGTAAATTTCTCTCTCTCTCTCAAGTTCAAGAGCATAACGTTTGTAGAGTTAAGAAGATAGAAAACGCCTGAAAAAACAGTGACACAAAGGAGTAAGTTACGAATATACGGAAATTTTAAAATATTTACTACAGTCTGTGAGCAAATTAAGCAAAATCGAGATAGTATCGGAAAACACTAATATTTCATTTCATACATATGTAAAATATAAATTTGGAAAACTATTTCTCAGAAGAACCTTTTGTTTATATGTTCGATTCATTCAGCTACTACATATTTTTCGTAGAATTATTCATTAGCGAGAAACAACTTCTAAAACAATTTATTTTGCAAAACGAGCAAAAACTTGGTATGAAGTTTATGTATACATACTTGAAATACCTAGAGTTGCCTGGGTATTTATTTATCATAATCATCCACTACACAGCAAGTGGAATCAATACTTTCTATAGTGTAAGTAAAAATAATTTTGAATTCACCTCCGCCGATGCTGACCCAGATTTTCCATTAACGTATTCCACCCTGACTCCCGTGCCCACTCACCATGGCCTGATATTGTTTGCATCAAATTACACTGCGTTATCACTGGGTATTGACCACCAACTATAAACTGACAAAATAATATCATATTTAGGAAATGGGCATCGTATTAGGAAACCCAGCAATATTACAACCTAATTGGGTTTTGACGTCAAACAGCGTTAATTACCCTCTACTTATATAGCAAAATGTACTATTACGATATATTTTGTATTATATTACGTAATATTTTGTGGATCGTATCAAGCTCGCAGAGGAGATTCAACTTGGTGGCGGTGGCGGGCGCGAGGTGTCGCGTCGGGCACTCACCGTAGACGGGGGCGAACTGGAGGATCTCCTTGAGCCAGGAGGCCTTGGCGGAGTCGGCGTGGGCGGTGACGGTGACGGCGAGGGCGACGTCGGACGCCGCGGGGACGAGCTGGAAGGCGTGCGGGTCCTCTGGGATGTCCTTCACGCGCACTTCGGGCAACTGCGCACAACGCCGCACCGCCGTCGCATCCCTTCACTTATTGGTTGACTCGTGTTTATGGGCGCGACAGCTGCTATGGTCATGTCCCGTAAGTGTACATTCTATGTTCCGGAGGGGGAAGGTGTTCTTTCAACTATCGTGAGTTCCGAGGTGGTCACCTACACGTCGGATTGCAGTGAACATCTTTCAGTTATCCCTACTGGGGGAACTGCCACAGCCGGAACAGGCTCTATCAAATGGACCACGGACCGCGCGCGATCTTTCCTTCCTCTTCCTTGTCCCATCCTCACCTCTTACTCACACTTACTCATGCACTACACTACCACACATGTCGGGAGATCAATCGGGAATTTAGAGCTTGTCCCGGGCGAGGCAGTGCCTCAGTAACGGGAGATACCTGGATTGGGAAAACCGTGCAAACCGAGGGAAGGTTGGTGTCAGATCTCACCATTCAGAGGAGAATGACCACCGCCACCTTCCGCGATCAAAATGTATGTAATGGACTAATGACCATAGCAGTTGACGCTCCACAAAACAAAGGAAACAATCGATCAATTGGACAGTGAACGTTAGATGTTAAACCTCTTTCTTCAAGAGTGACGAGGAGAGAGGAGGAGGAGAGAAAGGAGAGAGAAAAGGAGAGAGAGAAAAGGAGAGAGAGAGGAGGAGAGAGAGAGGAGGAGAGAGAGAGGAGGGGAGAGAGAGGAGGAGAGAGAGGAGGAGAGAGAGGAGGAGAGAGAGGAGGAGAGAGGGTGACAGAGAGAGAGGGAGAGGGAAAGAGAGACTCACCCGGATGATGTCCTTGAGCGTGAAGACGGAGCGGTCTTCGGAGATCTTGCGCACCTTGCACACGAGCACGCGTCCCTTGAAGAGGAACAGGTAGCGCTCCTTGTGCTTGCCCTCCTGGTCGAAGAGCGTGAACCACTCCTGCGCACACACGCCGCGCGCATCACTCAACCGCAACCTCCAACACGAGACTCTCATATTTTAGTTCGGAAATAAATAGTATTTTTAAAATAAATATTCATAAATTGTAAGCTGGAAGTAAAAATAGCAGGAACATAATCATAATGGGATTACTCCACTATGTATTCTGTAAATATTTTGAATGAACTGAGTAAAATTGCAAACTATGCTGGTTTGGGGAAACGGTTCGCCACTGGCCTCCCCCCTCCCAAACGGTTCATACTGGCACTCTAGGAGTGCTTCCAGAATGACTATTTATTTAAAAAGTTCATACATCATTTTGGAAGAACAGTGATTACTGGAGAGGACAAAATCAATTATCTCATAAACTTTTAGTGCCATCGGTGTTATGTGTATGTTCTTCTGACACTTGAAGAATTTTCAGAAATGTTTTTTAAAAAGAAAAATTGACTGTTCTATGACTTACAAATTAATCTAAATTTATTCCTTGGAACAACGTTCCATATCCAGAACATATACAACGTTGTTATCCTAATATAGCATTTCTAAAATTATAAATCGGCAGGAAAATTTGAAAATGCATTCTAACTTATTGATTCCCCTTTCTGAGTACATGATTGTATTTTTCAGATCTGCAGATAAGTATTCCTTGTTTACCTTATGGTGGGAATAGCTCTCCTGCTTGGGAAATTATTCAATGTGCTCCCTTACCTTTTTTCTTACTTGCTCTGTTGTAGAATACGGTTGATTCTTGAAGAACTTTCGTTAATCTATTATGTTTTTTTATTTTCAATTTTTCAACTAGTACTCGAAGTCTTCGCGGTGATACTTTGAAAGTATCGCACAATGTTTTGTAGCAAACACGTTCCCTTTTTCTATTTAATAACATAATATGTAACGGTTCAACGCCTAAGAATCGCACATTTTTAAGTTGTTTTGTTTGACTCTGAGACTGTCACACACTAATTTGCTAGAAACGATGACTGTTCATCATAACATAGTAGAAAGAGTTCCTCAAAGAGATCCCCTTTCATGGCACAATATTTTTCGGCATTGAATTCTACTCTGCATTTACAAGATACAGTATGAAATTTATTAATCCAGTTTAATTACATTGATGCTATTATCTTCAACGAAAACGAATTATAACAGCAGGCATAACCTTTGGCGGATACAATGTTGTTTTACCCACCTGATTTGGACACTCCAATGTTTTTCTTACATTAACAGTTTATATGCAATTCACTGGAATCTCTATACTTTTTTCTTTCATCAAAATTCCACTTTTCAACATTCATTCTTCTTTTCTTGCCCCTTTTGCTTTTACAGTGAACGGGGAAATACTTATACGCTCGTTTCGCGCCATCTTGCCAACACGTTTTTTCACGCAAAAATTAACTCAACCATTCTAATAAAATGCCAACGGGAGACCATATTCATATACAACATTGTTCCATAGGAAAGAGCAAATTGAAAAAGTGCCGCTTACAACGTTGTTCCAGTCGACGACACTTCAATTTACGGGCCAGGAAATGTTTTTCGGGAGAATATGAAAAATTGTCCGGCAGTACAATTGTAAACTTATCATCAGCGCCACTTCTTGACACATTACTAAAATGAAATAACAAGGTTCATTCTTCTGACGACTTTTCATCGGCGATGGTTTCCATCGGCAATGGAACACTTCGCGAGAAACATGTAAATTCTCGATTGTTAGTTAACATTTGCATTGCTTAGCACCGTTCATACATTGAGGATGACTCAGAATAAATGTTAGAAACTTGTAGAGCATCTGGAAGAAGGATCGAAGATGGTAACATTTCGTCATTAAATATATAGTGGGTAATTTCTATGTAAGTTACCCATGTGACATCTGCCCCTGTTTGGTAGTCAACCTGTCATGTACTAGTGTTTTGCGGGTCAAGTTCCGCAGCAATAAAAGAGATTTAGTGGACCTGCCTTGGACAATGGGCAATGCTTCTTGCGAATTAACCTATTACAACTGAATATTTTCTACAAATAGCTTTTGAATTATCTTCTATATTATTTTCCTCTCATGTTGTCCCATACTGGCATATTATCAGGCGTTTAAATGGGCATTTATTAAAATCTATAATTAATTTGACCCGATCCCCACAAACACTTCGTCTGCCCCAAGTGCCATATTATGGTATGATGAACTTGGTGATAGCAATGCATGTTTCTCTAAATGAATGCTAACGTCCCCTTCTGTTAGGATCCATGGCCACCTAACGTGAATGAGATGTGAACCCAGTCACATAAGAAAAAATGTTATAACCAGTAGAAAGTTACCATTATTATTGAAACTGGAGACTGCACTTTGTGTAAAATGACCTACTTTAACTCACTCGACATGCAGTGTACAGATATAATTATTATTTTGAAATAATTATACAGAGTAGTTCAAAATGGATGTTACAGACATCAAGAGTATGTCGAAGGATTAGGCTGTGATCACATTTTGCCAGTAAACATGTGATGGGAAATTTCAAAGAGCGAAGTTACACACGTAAAATCTTTGAACACGAGGCCCTGGTTTGAAGACAACTTACCCACGATGCGATGTCAACCAATTAGATGCAAGTGTCAGATATGAAACTTCGTCATATGACATTTGTCATCATATGTGCTTTGACAAAAAGTCCCTAATATGCCCTTCGTCCCCCTGAAATTGTCTAGACGTTTACAACTTTTATCCTGTGACACCCTGTAAACATTTACAAACGTATCATGAGGGAACACTCAAAAGATCCCTCTCTTAACAACATATTTTTTTCTAAATCGTCGGTAATAAGCGAGTACTCACGTGCTTGAGTAGTCGACCGAGCTTGTGGATGTTACCGTGGTAGCCCTCGATGTTGCTGATGAACCGGATGTCGTCTGCCTTGTGGGGCACTGCTAGCATCAACTCAAGCGCCTTCTGCAAGTCGCTAGTGTCTTCGCCTAGTCGACTGGAATACCTCACCAACTCCTGTGAAGGAAGCGACACCGTGAGCAAGGACAAGACCCAGCCAAAATTTGATTCTCTTTACAATATTAGCTTTATATAAATTTTGTGCTCACGGAACGCACAAATACTTAAGTACTTAGATTTAGTAACAAACTTAGGGACTTTTACATTGCAGTGTAGAGTTAGAAGGGCATAGTATTTTGATGGCCAATTATTAGTGACATTGATTTTTTCAATGGTTGCAGTTATAATTCTAACAGACGAAGACGCGTGTAATAAGTATTGTATCTCAGCTTCTAGGTCAATTAAACTCATATAAAGCAGGTTTTTGTTCACTTTACTTGAAACTTTGAGATATGATGTGATGGCCCTTTGTTTTGCTCCTGAACATAAATGTAATTCCACTACCTGCCTAAGTTTTCTTGACCTCATTGTGCAATATATTTATTCAAATAAACGTGTTACATATTCTTTGGGCTGTAAGCCAATTCATTCTTGAAGAGGAAGTCCTGATAAGGGATATTACCCCAAATATGTATCTGATTTGCATTTGCAAATAGTTTTCATTACATACCATATTTTCTGACAAATTCTTGCAAAAACGCTCGCTCAAACCAGCATCCATAATTTAAGTTGATATGAATATGAGTTAGGTCAGAGATTCCAGAGGTCAAGAAACCGTCCACAGGTAGCACTTCTCCCCATAGAACGTCTCACACAGTTTGTAGCCGTTTTTTACATCAAATAAATGAGTACCTTGAGCAGGAGCTGGTAGTCGTTGATGCGCTGGATGGGAAGTTTGAGGTGCTCGCTAAGGCTCTTGTCGTCGCCCAGCTGCTGACTTCGCTCCTGCAACACACCACAACTCGGCGTCAGCACGTGCAGGCTCTCAGCGCATTTCAGAAAACAATGAAGCGCCAAATACGAGTTAATGAAGGAATAGTTTTCTTTCTTACTATATGTAAATATATTTTCTTCAAAAAAATTAAAAATGTTTACTACTTTAAGCAAATAAATAAAAAAATAAAACACCTGCCAAAAAATAGTCTGATGCTAGACAGTTCTTTTTTTGTTTTCCCGAAATTGGGAAACGTACGTAATTTATGCACAACGAATTTTTCCTATCCTGCTTCAACGAAAACAAATAGTATAAATAGAACGCATTCACTAGCGGGAGAATCATGAAAACATGATCAAGATAAATGTTTATTTGGTTATTTGTTTTACAAATATAACACTGTATCGCGAAATGTTTATTAAAAGATAGATTTCAACAATATTTATTAAGGAAATAACTTAAAATATTTTAAAATATCCTCACACCTATTTTAAATACTTTTTAGAGTTTACAAGAGTATTTATAAGTTTAATATACAGTATCATAATTAATGTCATATATAAGATACCTACAGCTTGATATTTGTGAAGAGAAATACAGTAGAGCCTTGTTAGCACGAACTCGCTTTACACGAAATTCGTCGTCAAACAAAATTTCGTGTCAAAGTATCAAAATAGGACAACACGAATTTTTATAACAAGAACATCGACTATTTCAGTCTCTTAGAATTCGTGTTAACGAGGGTTTACTGTACATTCAAAAAGTAAATATCATTAAAAATTTCGTAGTCTAACATTTTAGTTTTGTCTTGAGATGTAAGAGCAGCAAGTCTGTAGGATCAAAGCTTTAATGGGTCAACGGTGATTAAGAGACATAAGAACTTTAAGAAAAAACCAATATTTATCAGGAGGTGAAATAGCTTAAATTAGGTAAAATGTGTAAACACTGCTTGTGAAATACTGCATATGTTTTAATCACAATTATTTGTATTTAAGTTTCACAGAACCATACACACAGCTAAAGGCGGGTTGATGAAGAAAGTGGTAAGCGACGCTACGAAAAATGACAGTTTTCAACTGGAATGGGATGCACGTTCACATTTACATACATGTTTTGTTAAAAACAGTAATCAACTATAACGTTCTGAAAAATTGTTATAATTTTGGACAAAAAATTTCAATTCTGATTACGTTGCCGATAGAATTGTGTTAAAACTCAGCTTCCTTGTTTGGGTTTGCAGCTCCGCACGGGCAGCAGTTTTTAGTCTCTTGAGGTAAGGCGTGCCTCCTGCTGCTTGTTTGCAGCTGTGATATAATATTACTCTTTCGTGTGTTCATATAACATCTACATTCAGTATTTATCCCCCGACCGTTGTATGTGGTAGCGACCGCTGTATGTGATACGCTGAAAAATGGTGGTTTAAATTTAAATAAGGGTAGCATTAAATCAGGCGCGCTGTTTTCTCGCAGTTGTTAAGCTATAACAGTACTCCTTGACAGATAGGCTCAGAATTTATCAACGGACCGTCGCATGTGGCAGCGACCTCAGGATAGGTACGCCGCTGCACTGAATGCAGGCAACGCGGCCAGAAGCCGCGGTGAGGGTCGTTGTGCGAAGGGCATCTGGCACCTCCACCGAAGGGCAAGGGCCGCCCAGAATGTCAGCGGCGCCGCCTATGCCCCCTTCCTCCACGGCCCTTTCGTCGCCCCGCTGATCTCAGGCCGCCTCCGCCCTCCTCCTGCCCACGCCCCTGCCCCCTCTCCGCCTCTCCTCCCATTGCATAGTTCTATTAATGTTCGGCCCTAAGCCGCCATCCTGATTGAGGTTTTTCTGGGTTTACTCAATCGCTT